GGGTAGGTTTTCAGAGGAGATCGACACACAAAGTTCAGCAAATTCGGCGCCTTGGGAGAAAGCTTCGGCGACAAAAGGTTCGGCGAAGAAACTTGCTGGAGAAGCATATCGTTCGAAACAGATTGTTCGAGAGAACTCTGTTCGGCGTCGACTGGCAGAGCACCGTTCGCGACAAAAAGAGTTCGCGACAGATTAGGCGAGCAAGAGACTTCGACTGGAAAAGGGTTGGAGCGTTGCGACCAGAAAAGAGCTGGACTACGCGGTGGATTCGAACACATTCTTAGAATTCAATACCAAACTCGATCTCTACAAAGTCTACATCCCAACTTGAGTGGGAATATGAAAATTAGAGAAGATTTTGTTCTTTTCATATTACATTAATGTTGGATTTAATTTTCATAGGAAAACAATTTATTTTTAATTTCACTATATTATATTTGGAGTGGTTAACTGCTTAAAACATGGGTAATGTTAAATGATTATGTATATCATGGGTTCTAAATTATTGGCTTGCATGCCTTTTCAGTGTGTTTTTCAATGCCGATGGAGTTAGAATCGAGGTAAACGATGAAAAATCATATTTAAATTATGAAGTTAGGCAAATCCACTCCGATTTTAAAGTCATTGGTTTGAATCAGTATAAAAAAAATCTTCTACAATGCAGGGGTAGGGCTATCAACAATAAACGTTCCCAAAACCAGTCTTATGCATTAGGTACACCTTATAGTTTGGTAGTTCCAAAATTGGTTTTTTTTTAATTAGCAATTGCTGTTTGTTAATATATTCTGAACATTTTTATTGATTATCTTTCATTATGATTACCTCATTTGGTTGTTGATATATTGTTAGTAGTGTACCTCCTTATTGAGAAATTTAGGGCAAAGAAAATCAGGAATGGACACAAATCTAGAAGAAAACACAGAGATTTAACGAGGTTCAACAATGAGCATACGTCCTCGGGAGCAGAGCGGTGATTTCACTATTCCATAAGGAAAGTTCGGTACATACCCATAGTGTTACATACATATATAGATGAAACCCACAGATAAAATTACTAAAATTCCCCTGCTCACCCAACCCACTTAACTCCAAGAGACACACTTCTTTACTCCAATTGACACATTTCTTCACGCCAAGAGACACATCTCTTCACTTCAAGAGACACACCTCCTCATTTTAAGAGATACATTGCATTCCAAGAGACACATATTTTCACTTCAAGAGACACACTTCTTCATTCCATTCCAAGAGACAAATCTTCTCTTCACTTCAAGAGCCACATCTTTTCACTCCAAGGGTCACATCTCTTCAACCAATTTTTGGTATATGAGCCATTTCTAACAAATCTCCACCTTTGCGAATATCAAACTCTTTAGGAGAAATATACCCTGGAGTTTCTCATAAATCAAAGTGGGTTGGGCTAACATGCCGTTTAGTAACTACAAACATTCAACAAGTTCAAACAATGCAAAAACTTGTTGATAGTAATTGACTTGGTCAACATATCAGTCGCATGTTCATCAATATGAAACTGATTTTTAGGCAGATAAATGACACTCTGACTGACACAATGCAACTGAACTCCACCTTGCCCAACACCCAGTTTCTTTACTAGCCCAGCAAATAATAATTTTGTATTATAATCATATGATTCAACAGTCAACTTCACCTACAACTGTGCACCCCAACACTTTATAGATATTACTTGCAGTGATCTTTTCTTTTATCACAGTCAATGCACCTTTAACAATTCTGATAGTTTTTCTATCCTCATCTGTCTTAGGAATAAAATCGTTTCTGTGTAAAAACCAAAGAAAATTAAAATTTTCTTCAAATATGAAATATGACTTATATCACATAATGTTTCGACAATGTCATAATACATCTTAATTTTGACTTTACTAATATCAGCAATATTACAACATTTATCATCACCCAAATAGACTGAACCAAAATCAGATAATCTGTATGAAGTAAACCACTCCATGTTTGATATTATGTGATAAGATCATCCTGAATCAAGAATTCATGCGTCCAATTGAGTTGTTGTAACTGAAAACATATCACCATCACTGCAAGTAATATCTATAAACTGTTAGGGTGTACAGTTGTAGGTGTTCATTCTGTTGAATCATATGATGATAATACAAAATTATGACTTGTTGGGTTAGTAAAAGAACTGGGTGTTGAGCAAGGTGGATTTCAGTTGCATGTCATTTATCTGGATAAAAATCATGATCAAACTGATGAAATTGCAGCTGATATGTTAACCAAGCCATTTACTATCAACAAGTTCTTGCATTTCTTGAACTTATTGAGTGTTTGCAGTTGCTAGACGACATGGTAGCCCAACCCATTTTGGTTTATGAGAAACATTAAGGTATCTTTTTCGAAAGGGCTCGATATTCACTAAGGTGGAGATTTGTTATATATGACTCATATACCATAAAGGGACATGTTCTGGAGCGAAGAGAAGCAGAACGGAAGATTATGTCCAAATCAAAGGAGTTTCCTTATGTGGGTTGGGGGTGAGGTACAAGGGTAAATTGGTATTTACATATTGTACTCAAAGTTTCTTTTTTCTGCTCTTTCTATGATTATAAAATAGGCCTATTTGTAACCCCATGTTATTCTATTTTGTATCATGTACTCTTTTTCTGTATTAGTGGAAAAGTCGTCACTCTGCTCTCGAGAACGTAGGCATCTTTGTCGAACCTCGTTAAATCTCATGGTGTTCTTCTGGATTTGTGTCGATCTCTTATTTTTCTTCGCCCTAATTTATCAACAAGAAGGATTGAGGGCCTCCTCACATTGGCTAACCTTTGATTATGCGTCAATCTTCACTCGATTCATACCAAGCATCAACATCAGATGTCTACCTTCTTGATCATCAATATATACTATATGAGAATAACGATTTAGTGTACCATTAAATGTGGAATAAAGTCCAACTTTCCGAGTCATCAAACATTTCTTGATCGCCAATGCTCAAAATCTACCCATTTGGTTATCCATCACCCCTTTTTCAAGGAGAAAAATAACCACAAATTTCTTCTTGATGTTTGATGATCTCACTTTACTTTCATCTAAAGCTTGCTAATATTTGATCTATGTTAGTCACCACCAACATTCAATAAGCACCAATCTCTCTCCTATAATAAGAACTGCCAAGTAAACCACCAATCATCTCCTGATTTTAAACATTCTCAATTAACCTTTCCTATGCCTACGATCCTTGGCCATCTGTCGATGTTCAAAATTTTCAATATGTTATTGTCCAATATTTGCCAATGTATGAGGTTTATTAGTCATTGATGTCTGATGTACACTTTTTGGTCATCAGTCTCTCCTCATATAATGAGAACTAAGCGGCCGCTGATCGTAGCTCAACATTTAATGCTCTATTCAAACTATTATTAGATGCCTTATGATATTCAACATTTATTAGCAATTGACGTTTAACACCCATCTTTCTGGTTTTCCATGTCTTCTTCTATAGGGAAAGGACCGAGCAAACCACCGACTGTTGCCCAACATCCAGTATTCCCAATTGATCTTCATTTGATGTTTACTAATGTTTCATGTTTGTTGGCCACCGACATCTGACGCCCACGCCCACCATTTGCCTATTGGTCCTATATTCCAAGAAAAATGACCGAGTTAACCATACATCATACATCACTACTCATTATTTCTAGTTAATCCTCACCCAGCGCTGATCTATCAATGCAAAAAAAAGCCGATTATCAACAATATCCATCGATAATAGATAAAAACAAAAATTCATCAAATTTACTTGAGGAATGAAATTGTCTAATAATGACCTTATTAAAAATTATTTTTTCATCATTAATTTGTTAAAATTATTGATAAATATTTTGTCATAATACCAATAAAAGTTCGTTATTATCATATTGACAAGTATTCCATTGATATCTATGGTCTAAAAATCTATCGATGAAACCAAGATATCAACACTTTGATAGAAATTCCATTGAAAGTTCATCAATGTTTTTCAGAATTTATGAATAGATATTCCTTCATACCACTGCGCGGCATTGACATTATAATAGAACTTTTGTCAATAATCCGTCAGTCATTTTGAGCATTAAAAGGTGTTATGCTAAGTTTGTAACTCTACAAAACTTTCTAACAAACAACTTATCATAGGTAAAATGAATCAAAAATAGCAATTGTATATTAAGACCATTTCATAATAATCCATCGAATAACATGTGACAGACAATTCACAATAATTACTTTAACATATTGCAGGTAGTAAGCAAGAAGTATATGATAGGTACTAATCTCACCCCCATTTTTACATATTCATGTGCCAGTGTTCACAGTGGAGGCATGTAAACAAAGAATATTTTGTCTATTTTTATCTTAAAAACCAAATCTTAAATATCTTTACTCCACCTCAAAAATATTGCAGTTGGGCATGGCAAGTGCACTGGAAACTCTCTGTGGCCAATCCTATGGAGCAAAACAATACCGCATGCTAGGAATTTATCTACAAAGATCATGGATTATTCTCTTCATTTGCAGCCTCTTCATCCTCCCCATCTTCATCTTTACCACCCCTCTCTTAAAGCTGCTCAGACAAGATGACTCGATTGCAGAAATGGCAGGCACTATTTCCAAATGGTTCATTCCAGTAATGTTCTCCTACATCTGGGCTTTCACTCTTCAAATGTACCTTCAGTCACAGAGCAAGAATATCATCATCACATATTTGGCTGTATTGACATTAGCTCTTCATCTTAGTCTCTCGTGGTTCATGACTAAGATACTCGGTCTTGGACTCGTCGGAGTTATGTCTTCGACGATCATCGTTATGTGGATTCCGGTGATCGGACAACTCGGCTTCATCTTCTTCGGGGGATGTCCTGAGACCTGGAAAGGTTTCTCTTTTAGTGCTTTTAAGGATCTTTGGTCCACTATGAAGGTTTCTTTGTCATCTGGTGTCATGCTATGGTATGTTTTTCACTTTTTTCTTATGGTGAACTTTTAAATAGTCGAGTATATATTAAATATTAGTTGTTATTCAATTAATTTATTTATTCAATAAAAATGGATATGGTGCAGCTTAGAGCTTT